AATTAACACCAGAGAGCGAAAGTTTTGTAAAAAAAAATGTTTTAAATTAGCAGAAAAAAAAGGCATAAAATACAAAAAAAATGACATTTTGTAGTAAAATAGCTAAAACAGCTGATGTTTTTCCATTAAAACAGCTAAAATGTAACTGGATCTGTTTTTATTAGCATAAAGAGCACAAGTCTGCTGAACTTAGCATAAATAAGTTTTGATAGCTACAAAAATGTGTTTAGCTTAAAGCAGCTACCTTTAGTTTATAACAGCTGAACTTTAGCTAAAATTGCAGCAAACAGCTGAATAAAGCAAAAAGCATCTTAAGAAGCATAAACAGCACAAAGCAGCAGAAAKAAGTATGAAAAGGTACAAAAAAAACAGAAGAATAGCCGAAAGAAGAAGGATTTTAGTTGAAATAGCAGAAAAAAGCTAAAATTAGCAAAAATAAAAGTTGCTAAAATTAGCACAAGAGTGTGAAAAAGAGCAGAACCAGAACAAATTGGGTAAGGAGCTGTAAAGGTGTGGAAACATTTTAAAGGATTTTAAGGATGTTGAAAACAGCTCCATTCATTTTCAATGGCAAAAAAATGTAGCTAAAAAATGAAACAGCTAAAAAAGTATAAATAGCTGAAATACCAAAAGTCATAGTGTCCTTGGCATAAATGAGCTGAAGGTTTTTTATTTATGAATTGTTGAAAAYGCACAAYAATTGTGGACTGAGTTGATGTCTGAAGGTAAACGTACAGAAGAACAGCAGTGCTGTGAAGCGTCACACAGTCAGGCTGCTCTCTGACACAAACACCAACCATAAATATAAAAACCTCCGAGCAACACTCAGACTTATCTGCTCCTCTGGTTTTAGCTGCACTAAAACTGCAGTTTTTTCCAAASCAGCTTCAGATTTCAAAGCTCAAAGCAGAGAGAAACCAAACTGCTGAAGCAGGAGCTCGGGAAGCCACAGTGTGTGCTGGCTGCAGCTAAACGCTGCGGTGGTGACTAATGCAACAGGAGGCAGGGAAAAAAGCAGCACATCAGCAAAGGATTGAAATAAAAAGCAGCAACTTGGCTTTTTATTGCCTTTAAACACAGAACTGAAACAATCTGAGATAAAATGATTATAGAGAGAATAAKAACCAGCTGTGCCAAACAGCTGACTGAGCAGCTGTTTCCTTGTTTTAAACGTCTTTAACCTGCAGCCTCCACCTGCACACCTGATGCTTCACACATCACAAACGTTCATTATTTATCTGTRAAACCACAGGAGAACCTAATCTGTAAAACTGACCTTTTTATATTAAAGAAGCTGCACAGAGGCAGCCCTCCCTGCAGTGATGTCACAACATCACWCATCTTTACTTTAAGCAGAAAAACAGGGTTTCTTAGCAGGTTTAACATGAASTGTCCTTACAAAGTGAACTAAATGTTTGGATGAGGACAGTTTGTTTGGACTGAAGGAGAGCAGGTAGTTTTCTCAGCTGATCTCACTTTAACCACAAACACCTTCAAACATGTTGGTCTCTGGTCAGTTACAATCTGAACTATTGTATTTTATTGGACATTTTCTCTGAGTTTTCTGTTCATTTCTTGTTATTCTCACTTCATTATTTGCGGTGAAATTAAAGCTTTATTAATTTTAGGGCTGTGAAATTAATTGAGTTAACTCTGATTTTGTGCTGCATGAGCAAAGATTTAAAATTTTAATCACGATTAAAATGTACAATGACTTTCCTCTGGCTGAATYTGTAGGTTTGTATATTACAATGCACTCAGTGCATGCCAGGTGTTGGTAAATGAGAAGTGGTTCTCAAACAGTTTACCTGCATAAATAAAGGTTAAATAAATAAAATAAAACTCCATGTGTAACACATTATGTACAGTTTTTTCTTTTTGTCTTCTTATGGCTTGTTTTATTTGATTTATTTATGTTTTGCTGACAYCTGTGACCTTAGTATCTATCTTTCATTCCTCATGTAGTACTCAGGAATGAAAATCCTTGAATTCTTGATTTAACCTCATTATTCTGCATAAAACTTCACCGACTCAAATATGTTTGGAGCATTTTTTAGGTCCTGTTTTATATTCAAAACATCATGTCTAAGGATCAAATTCTTTTTTCTAAATAAAAACAATAATTAATAACTCAAGTAATTTATTTTACCAATATGCAATAAAGTTTTATCTTAAGTTTAAGATTAATCACGATTAATTCACAGCTACCTTGGAATTAATAGATTAATAATTTTGATCAATTGACAGCCCTAATTATTTTTGAAGAGCTGGGTTCGCTATAAATGATTCCTTCAGTGATTAACCTCCCCCTGCTCTTTAAACCCTTCTCCTGTTTATTGTTTTTTTTTTCCTAAAAACATCAGCTGTTCTTTAAAAGTTGCAGGACGGTAGAACTGAACGCTGCAGCTGTACAGAGATCTTCCTCAGCTCCTCATCATCACTTCATATCCTCTGACTGACCCACATTCAGCCCAGATGCAAATACATTTGAATGGCAGTTGAAGTCACATTATTTACATCACAAATACACTATCCTGTCTGTGCAGGAGGAGGGGCGGGGCCAGGGGGCGGGGCTCATACACATTGAGGCGTCTCAGGTGAGGGTTAAGGGCCGCAGCAGAGACGTCTGAACTTTACAGCCTGTAAACAGTTTACTTCAGAAACATCCACCGAGAAAAARGCTCCCAAAGTTTGTGAAAGCTGTAAAAAGTTGTGTCCAGTGTTTAAACAGCTGTCCTCTTGATAAATTAAACGTGTCTCGTTTACAACGTGATGACTAAAATCATGAGTTCAACTYTTTAATCCTTGTTTTGTTGATAAAAGAAGCCCAGCTGTCCACTGGATGCTGCTCCGTTATTAACCTGATGTGGTTCTTATTTAAAAAAAACATTAAAAACAAATGGCAGTCCAGATACAAACTCGTACCTTTTGGAGGTGCCCACCTTAAACTGACCACCTGGTCTTTAAAAAKAGACAAAAATGAACAAAACTCAGTCAAATTTAAAGATAAAGAGTCGAACTTGGAGCCGACAGAAGCTGAGGCTCAGTTCCTCCCCGCTTTCTTTTTCACACTGTCGCTGCAGAAATCTTAAAAAATATACATTTTTGGTGCAGATAAGATTTAAACTGGAAGTGTGTGTGTGTGGGTGTGTGTGT